GACACAAATAGATTATCAGCGAGAACAGCTGAACCATCTATCGGAAGACTAAACTAAACAGGTAAATGGAAGACTTCGATTGTCACCAAAAAAGGAGACACATCTGGAAGAAGGCCCCAGCCAGAAAGCACGGGCTACGCTCGATCAGCCTAGAGCGACAGGTGAGATTTTGCCTGGTAGCCATGGTGTATTTTATGCACAAGTTATCAGGAAGAATCGACCAGTAGTCGAGAATCGTTTCCTGTTCTAGCCTGGCCCTTGGCTAAGAGCAAGGACACAATCCCCTGGCCCTTCGGAAACTGTCAGCTCGTTGCAGCATCCGCGGTTGAGACGCCTCCTAAGCTTAGGTTCTCGGCAAGCTCGTGTCTAAACGCCCTCTTTAGCAAAAAAATTAAGTTGTGCAAAAAGGCAACAAGCGGACGCTATACCGGAAACTAATTAGGCCTTATCCCCACAATGGTTGTCCCAAAGTTTCGGCTGCCGCTGGAAATAGACTTCTTCTCTTGTTATGTTAAAGTCGTACCGTTTGCCTACAAGTGGTTGGAAAACTGTGGCTGGCTGCCACATGAAGTAAAATAATAAATCATAAAGTGTAAAGAAAAACCCGTAGCTATTCAAACACTAATGATGAATGCAACTACTTCCTCAAATGAAAATCCCTCCCTTTTTTATACTGATGGGGCTAAATTGCTTGCAAACATAGGTAACATTCCTGCAAACAGTGGCCACCCGTTAAAGTTGGTTGATGGTGTCTGAACAAAGGAAATTCTGCTGCACAAGCCACCGGCTACGACTGCTTTGGATAGAAAAACGTTACGACCACCCAAGACTCGGTTAGAGTCACAGACATATAAACGCATAGACCGCCGGTCTTGCGCGTAAAATCGTGTTTTTGAAAAGTATGGGCAAACAATGTGCCGGAAGCGACGCGTCCAATGCGCATTACGCGCAACGCACTTACATTGCCTGTATTTTGTTTACATGTGCTCCCAAAATGCGTTCACCTTTTTGCTCCTTTGTACTGCTAACTTTTCTTTTCAGATGTTGCGACTGCATTGTTTTGAATCCTCAGGGACCAGATTAAGTAAATATAAGTCTGTTACAATCGGAAAATGGCTTCATGGAATGTTATGACTGGAATTCTTCAACTGTGCTTAAATTCCCTATACCGAGGGGTGAATTTGCCCATAGTTTTGATTTTAGTCGGGTGCCGCGCAGATCACAAAAAACCTGTAGTTTTGAATAGGACCTGGCGGTCTATGCGTTTATGGCTGAGTTTTGGCGGCTTGTTCTCGTATGTTCGGGAACAGCTCGATTTGTTGTTTGTGGATCGGCCGCTCGAACGCTGGGAATGTACAACCGGTTATCGCTACTAGTTACTTGTAGCATGCAAGCAACATGCAACAAACATGCAACATGGCGGCGTCCTTGTACATTCTTCGGAAAGTTAATGTTTGAGCTAACTTTTCATTAAAAAATCATATCTGTCACAGAAAATTATTGATGTTAATTGTGCAAAACTTTCCATTGTCTCCAGTTTTGTAAAACCATCTCCATAGTTTTTGCAGCTTTTCAAAAATCAAATCTTACGAGTTTTCCCGTGTGTTCGTGTAAAACCCTGACGAGGAGGTGAGGGTCTGAACCTGTTCCGAGAATAGTGTTCTTGGGTCATGTTCCCGCCATTGGAGCGTGAGGAACGCGAAACCCGTGTCAAGAACAGGCCCGCCCGAACTCGACCTATATGTCTGTGGTTAAGGTGCTTTGATGGCACAAACCAAAGAGCGCCCTCTTTTGTAAGACTTTAATGCGAAAAGGCCGCAAGAGGGCCCTGTTGCCTAAATCACTCACAGACACTGATACTTATTGGTAACATTCGTTGCGAAGTAGAGAACCATTATGTTTCACGAGTCCGGTATACCACCAGAGGGCCCCTTGTAAAGATGAAGGCCAGAGCCCAAGTGATCACATGCCCTGAATTGTTTGTACGTCTTAGGGCAGAGCTGTAGGCCTATGTAGAGAGAGTAGCGTCGTCTTTGGACTTAAAGACCAAAACGGTTGTTCATTACCTGTGCAGTACAGCATGCAGCTATGGTATGCTAATTGCCATCCATGTGCACTGCCATTTTGGTTCTAACAGTTGACGTAACTCTCTCAATGAAAACATCTGAATCACACTGAGCAAAAGTAGGGCCGTTTCCCAATTACTTGGCGAGGCTGCGGTCTAAAATTACGCACGTGTCTGTGGTAGTAGTCGCAGCCAGTTCCAGTGGAGTCGCGTAATTTCAAGCCACTGTCTAACGGCTATACGTGTACTGCATGCAAGCGCGTGTATTTGGCCTATTCCTCATTCGAGGTGGCAAAAAATGGGGTAGCACTTTTACATTAATTTTAAAAATATAAATACTGCATCTGCTTTTGTAGCAACAACTAACTGTTGCTACTCATTTTGCCAATGTACTTAAACCTGCTGTTCATACTTTTCCTCATTGACAGACGTATCCAACATATTTGGATGGTGTGAGAGATCAGGTAGCCATGGGGTGCACTGCTTGAGCTCACGGGGACGAGGTTGCTGTCGTATCCACTGTCCTGTTTTGCTTTCCACCTCTTTTACTAAGCACTGGGAATGGCAAATTCCTTTCACAAAATCTTGTGCAGGAAATAATGTCACAGCTATGGACGCGGTAAGGATTGTAGGTTACTTGTTGACCTATTATCAACGCATGTATAGAGGGCCCAGGCCTACATTCAGCGTAAACATGTAGCGCGCAGGTTGCAATGTTGACCCGTGTTATAATTTAAATTAATTCTGTCCAGTGAGAGCTGGAGAATGCAGCCAATGTCTTTCACAGAAAATAGTGCCCCCGTAGAGTCGAGCAGTTCGCCTCCCCGGCTAGCTACCTGCTTTGAGAAACGGAGTAGAATATAAAGTAACCATAGGGACGAAGTTGGAAGGAAACTCAACTACAATAGGGCCTAAACCCGGCATGGGCGGTGGGGTACCCCCCTTACATCTCCGATACACACTCTATACTATTGTTACCTAACACACACACCCGTGTCTGTATAGAATTCCTAAGATTCCGATCAAACAATGACCAACACAAAGGTGTGGGGGGGGGGGGCGGAGGGTGCTCTCCTCTATATCTTGCTTCATATGTTAGGGCCTAGCCGACCACCAATGTTAGGTTATCCGTGTACACGCATAGTACGCATATTGTGCAGACACGCCAGTTTTTATTTGGTTAACTTAATCCAAACTGTATCTTTCTGTTGGGAGTTCAAGAGCAAATGATCTTCATAATTCTGTTTCGTTGGATTCGGCAACAGGTACGAAACCAAAACAAAAGAATCACGATTGTTCGGATTAGGATCCTGTTAAACAATAACTCAAAATATCATGCTCAAGAAGACCTAACGTTGTAGGAAGTTACTTTTTTAATGTTGGCATGGCAGGGATGTACATGTACGATCGAAAAATGTGCAAACCTTTCTAGAAATTGCGGAGGAGCGCCACCAAGTGTTTCATCCATTATCTGCTTCCAGTGTCTACAGCTTTTCTTGCTCAATAAGCGAAAACAAGGGCGGATCTAAGAATTTTTCCAGAGATGGTCAGGTCTCTCAGATTTTGTTTATGTCCGATGGTTACAGACAGGTTTTTTTGCGGGGGTATCGGAGCGGGGGGGGTCGACCCCCAATCTCCATGGACCCATATCTGGAAAGGCTGTTTTCCTAATCCTCCCAAAGACAAATATAACTTTTATTGCACTTTCATTTTTCATCTGATGACCACCTATATTTTCTAATTTTTTTTTACCCATATATCCCAAAACTACTTCATAAGAAGGTGATTTAATATGTAGAAAAACCTTCGTCAAGAATAGAGGGAGATTTTTCCCAATAGACCTATGAAGACTCGGTGTGCCAAAGATCTCCTCAATGGAGTCCTGCGTGGTCCACTCACGAAATCATGAGCATGTCGTTCTGGGTTTCAACATCAAAGCTCACGTGGTCCATTTTGAAATTAAAGTCTATGTTTTCAATTTTTCGAATGGTTTTTATTTAGAGACTGAAATCTTGGACAAATTTTATGTTTTTTTATATATTACATTGTATGTTTCTAAGCAGTGTCTTACACTCTGCCGAAAAACACGAGAAGACAGATTTCGCTCGTCACCCAACGCCTGAACAGGGCGCTGGAAAGGACTGATACTTTGCACTGTGATTGGCTACATTGTGCACGACCCTGAAATGCGAGGTTATCAATTTCTGTTAGCGAAATGTTATTCATTTTTTTGGGTTTTCCAATTGCAATGCTTTGGTACAGGCAAAGTGTCGGATATATGATAAAAACACGGCCTTGGAACAATCAAAGCGTGGTGGTTTATCTTCTCACGATGTATCACTGACCGCTTGTCTTTGGTGGTACATTTCAAATCATTGGCTATCTTGATCAACTTTGGACGAACGAATTAAGTGGAGTGAGAATATTTTCAGCAATGAGGAAGAAAAAGAAAAAATATCGAATTGATAACCACCGCTTGTGTAACGTATTGAGCGAGCTTACGCACCTGGCAGGAATTACCCACAATGCTCTGCGCGTCATTAGCTGTGACCCCGTGTGACGTATTTCCTTCACTAAATTCTGTGCAAGGCTATCAGCCCTTCCCAGGCAAAAAGATAGACATGCTTTCTCTGACTTCGTCTGGTGCTTTACTCATCTATAAACCAGGCATAGTAAACATGAGTTCCAGGGGAGTTCTCACTTATACTTTTTAGCGGACATGTCTGTTGTTCAATGTCTTCATTTCAAAATGTGTATGAGATTTTCAAGCAAAATAATGGAAAAACATGAGCGTATCCAAACCACAATTAAGTCTTTGGCTTATCTAATGTTTTATGACATGCCTTATTTGAAGATTCCAAAATGATTCGTAATCAAGTCAGCCATGTTGTCTTTTCAAAATAACGAAACAGCATACTCATCACTCATACCACCTTTTGCAATTTTACAATTACTTTATTGATTGAGTTTTCACATTCATTGTGGGTTGTAAATACAAAGTAAACATGAACCTTGTGTGGAATTCGTAGCATATAAAGTAATTTTGATTTTTTTAATACACTTGAAAAATTTGGCACATTTTTTCTAAGTGCTTGACTTCACTTACCATTTAGATCTCCATTGCGTAGTAATACTATACTAATTGCAAGGTGCTTATGGCTTAGTTAAATTGTAACTGAAAATGAGTCAGATCAAATAACCTCTCATAGATGTATTAGTCATTGTTTATTATTACCCCCATTTCATTTCCTCAGAATTACAGCCTTTTACCACGTATATGCTGACTCTAAATGATCCTCCAATTTTCCCAAGTCACATATTTTAATTTCTTCACTTTTACATTTCTACATTTCCACCTTCGAGAAATTGTCGATTTCTCCCGTAGTATTCAATGTTTCTGGGCGATTGTGCCAAATTCTGATTACTCCCTTGATTATTTCGCGAAATCTACAAAAGCACGAGATCATTAAAAATTTGTCAACTTCCATTTTTTCCTCACCCGCATTAGAACAAAGCATACCTGTCACTGAAAACCTAGCCAAGTTCACATCAAAAGTCTGAGACCTTTTTCTTTTAGGGGATGTTCTTTCTCTTTGTTAAAAACTTACTCCATCGTGCTCTACAATATGCAGCTGTCTAAAAAAATAAATTAGCACCACATGAATGCACTTAGAACGTTTCATTCATAGTTCATTAGCAAAGAACCCATCACAGTCCAATAACAGACATTTAGAAACATGTCGAAGTATTCAAAACCTTCCCACTGGCCAAGAAAACACGATACATGCACAAAGAACATTAAGAAAATTTTTCATATTTTTCAATAATCACTGCGGTAGATTTCCACATTCAGCATTGTCCCTTTTTCGCAATTATGCAGAATTCAACGGATTTTATTAGAGTTTATTAAACAGTTTGTTAGTTTGATTCTCAACGAAGCATTACCAGTGAGTTCTTCTTTTTCAACTTTATCCGTTTAGCTTATTTTGCTGGGATGTTCAATTGCAATTATCTTTAGATATTTACAAGTGATAAACGGTCAGGACTGTTTTGCCATAATGATCGTTCTTAATAAAATGAGCATTGTTTTATTATTTCGGAAAATCCACCGAAAATCCCCAAAGATCTGGCACGATAAGTTAAACTCTGTTTTTACACTCGTTACGGATCTTCGAACATCTTTAATTGCGATATCCCAAGAATACAATATCAGTGACGTTGATAAGGATTTGTTTTAATCCATACAAAATACGAGCGTCATATGCAAATGCTACATACCGCCTTTCAATATTGTGACGACAGAACTGCTGTGGAAGTGTGACTTCCATTTCCTTCGATAAAGTGATTTGTTTTAACATTCTGAGGTGTTTCTTTAATTAGAGCAGAATTATGTACACAGTCTTTTTGTGACAATAAATACACGTGAGAGCTGGAGTATGATACAAAATCGGTTGTTTTCTGTTCATTTCTCGCCTTCTTCGGAATCTTCCACCGATCCTCGATCTGTCTCGGAGTTACTGCAGTTATTCTCCTTGTGCTCTTCTGTGTGTAGCACGCCTTGCAGCTGCTTGATGTACCGGATGGCCATCCTTAGCGTCTCCACCTTGCTCAGCCGTTTCTCCGGGTTCTCCGTGGGTAGATGCTCACGCAGCCGCGCATAGCCCTCGTTGACATTCCGGACTCGCTCCCGCTCTCGCTCGTTCCGCCGCCGGATGAAAGACGGCTCTAGGTCGTAGAAACCGAAGGGGCTGGGCAGGGGCACATAGCTGCTATAGTGGCCCATGAAGGAACCCGCGTAGCGGGGGTCCAGGTAGTTTGGGATGGGCAGGGTGACATCTGTGTTGTTGCCGTGCTCGCGAAGTGGGTACAGGCCAGCGGCCGTGGGACAGTCGCTCATGGGAATGCCGAGCTGGACGCAGGTCGGCGTGGAGTAGATGGCCGATTCAGAATGCGGTTCCTCCATCATGTTGGCGGTAAATCGAGACACTAGTGTCTAGCACTTTTGTTTTCAACCAAACTAATACTGACTGTGTTCAACGATGAATTATACGGACTGTTTGATACGGTTAACTCGAACCATTCAGAATGATTCAGAGCAACTCTGACGACTGTAGAGAGAGAACTTCTTCTGGACTGCAGTTGTGATCTGTATACCCAAGAGGTTGCCTGAGTACACAGATATTGTTGATGAAGATGATGAAACGATGAATGGTGGCTTTGAATTGACTCCCGGGACAGGACAACCGAACTGTAGAAATCTGGAGAAACAAAGCATTAAACGGAAAAGATTTGTGCACTGAATCTTAAAACGACAGTCATAACAGAAAGATTTGATTTTTTTAAATCGGTGTCGAATGTTATTCACATGCTACTATCAGCAACCTGGTGATCGTACTTTGATTTACTATGTTGAAAATATCAAAACCATTCATAAATGTTCGCTTTTGAACCAACTTCTAGAACAGAGTTGTGCATTCATGGAGGTGCACGGTCTGTTACGTCTTGAGCACCTGCTTAATAGATAAAAGTGCAGTAAAAACCCAAGACGACACCATGCCTTGCACTTTAGCAGACAGTAATGCTTTCAACACGTCAACGTCACTAGTCATAACTGTCACTTTCCAGTTGGCGATTCTTTCTGGCCCGCACGGTGCACTTTCCTATTGAAATATCACCCTAAGTCGATTTGACGTTGATGGGAGTAGGTTATTGTAATGTGAGTGCGAAGTGTGTTAACTGAGCAACGCATTTTTGGTAAAAAGAGAAAAGAGAAAGGAAGGTTGCCACATTATTTCCATACGCAATGGAAAAACTGGGGGCTTATTCAGGGCTACAAAACATTGACGTCTCTTTGAAAAGTGATGTCTAGGTTTTGGAGAGAACATTGATAAAATCAACTGCTCAGAAGGTAAGCTTTGGCGAAAAAATGTGCTACAAATCGCCGCTAATACCATGGAAAGGTAGGAGTGTTTTGATTTGTGTCGGAACGTCGACGCCAAATTTCATTAAAGCTTATACACGAGTGTACGCACGGTGTTAAAGAAAGGATTTTTAGCTCAACAAATTGATACTTAACTGCCCATCCGCTTTGCATTCGCCGTCTCTCTTTCACACATGATTTTAATATGGTGGAATTGGACCGGAATCAACCACAAATTGAGGTAACTCATATCGAGTATTCTCTGAATGTAATTTTGTCAAACATATTCAGTCAATGTGTTTACAGCAATGTTCCATATGAGAAAGTTAAAAAAAAATTACAAGAGCTTACTCATGTTTTGTCAGAAAAGCTCATTTTACTGACCTGCATAACATGAACTAAAAAATCAAAGACCTTTAGGGTGAGCTGGGTAAAAAAAAATGTTCAGGACTCGTGTCATTGCCCTTGTTAGACAACAAAAACTACCGTATTCACCGAGCGACGGGTAATAATAGACGACGGCCCGCTGAGCGGGCAATTGCGGGGCCAGGGGAACCCTTAATCATGCCCTCCCCGGTGAAGCTGAAATAGACGCGGGGTGACGGTATGCGAAACATGGTGGGCTAACTCGTCGGGGTTTGGAGTATCAAGAGCCCACTATCGCGTCAGGGAAGTCGGATTGCTCCGCTTGTTTGCTCCCCAAATTATATCGCTATTACCGGAATGTCTTTTTTGTGTGGAGCCGTCCCAGACGCAACAGAGGTTTTTGTAAGAAAAAAAAAACACACTCAAAAAACCAAAACAAAACAATGGCGCCAGTTTGCCAGACTACTGACACCAAAAGAAACCTTAAATAAGTTGGGAAAGTTGATTTTCCCAAGACGTTAGTCTTTTTAGCGACACATCTCGTCCATTGAGACACCATGAAAACATGTTCCCTATTTTTTTGTCTTTAATGGCTCGGGAAAAAGTGCACGCAATTCATAACTGTCACCAGCAACATCCCACTTGCTTGAAAAGAATTTAAAAAAAAATAGAATGAAATTTAAAAATTGGCCAGTTCCTCATTTCCCTGCACTACAAATCTGGACATGCCTCTTACTGGAAAACGTCATATTCAAACCGTTGGAGACTTAGGCCTAACCGCCTAGCCCTTTTCGCGATGTAAACACTTCGATATTCTGCTGTAAATTTGTTTAACACTTGACGAAAAGTATTGGGTAATGTTATTTAACTCGAAAATTGGTATAAAAATAACTTTACTGATGGCTGATTCCGGTAAAATTGTACCCACCATGGGAAAGAATTCGCCCCCAAGTGTTAAAATGTAATATATGGACCAACGTTGGGTGTAAAAGGTTTAGAAACATCTGCACTTGCACAGTGGATTTTAAGCGCACACATAATTGGAAACAGGCTTAAATCATGGCATGGAAAGGTACCGATTTGTAATATCAGATTCTACGACAGCACGTCTATTTTGTTAATCTTGATTTTTGTTTGGATCTCTTTTTTAAAGATATGTCCGTTGAGAAGAGTCTAACATAGGTAAAATTTGTGCAGATGTCTAATTTGGGTTTAGCAAAATCCAGAATTTGTGAGTAACAACTACCGGTAACTACCGAACTGTATTTTCTGACATTTTTTGTTCACTTAAGATTTCAGATGCAGATGCTTTTCCTGATGTTTCATATCTGCGAGGATCCCTCAAATACGAGTTCATGTAGAAAGTAAATCGATGCCGTCTTGCCGTCTACATCTTCTTACAACTGGCATATTCTCATCTTCAGGACTGATGAAACAGACGTCTTTGATTCATTACAAAGCAAGCGCAGAATGACCACAAAATACAAATTATCAAATTTTTCTCAGGATTAATACGGCATGATCTGTGCGAATAAAACAACAACAGATCCTTCCCTCGGTGCAGTGGCCACTGGATTGAGATACTTGGAAACACAGTTATGACAATAAATGGGCTCCCGTCTTCAGTTTAACGAAGGGGAAAGTTCGGCATCTCGGACGGTGGAAATTGCCTCCGTTAAAACCCCCGGTGTTGTGTCTCATCCGCGGAGGGAGAATCATCGCACCGAGGCCGGCAAAAAGAGAGAAGGCAACCGCAATCACAATCATCCGTGTATTTCTGAACGAAACGATTACGGCTGGGTCCCGACGGTAAACGAAAGCTTATTGATTAATGCTTGGTGGACCAGCGGCTGTGCAGGTGGCTCCGTGGACCTGGCAGATCTCGCCGGCTTCCGGCGAGCAGCGGTGGGGGGAAAAGCGGGGCGAGTTTTTTTGCCCGGCCGCGCTCACCGTCCGTCTAATTAATCGTGTGATCACTCACAAACGGTGGTATAATGACGGGGCAAACCATGGCCGGTATACGTGGCGGGTTACATGCCCGTTACCCACTCCTCGGTATTGTGTAAAAGGAAATGTGTAATATGTCACTGTTAAATCCTCTCTGCTAAACCGTCAATCTTTGCCTGAAATGCCGAAAGGCCGGTTACAGAAACCCCATAATTATCGCAAAGGCTTATGATATTGTTCGATCACGAGACAGTGGTATTAAGCAGGTATTGCTTTATTAATTTGTAACATTTTCCTAAAGAAGGAAAAACAAATCATGGAATAAGTTGATTGTATTCGACGTCCGGTGGTTAGCTTTTAGCTGTACAAGAAGTGTGGGTCGATGTAACTTGGTATATGTACTTGAATACACCTAACCATCAGTTGTTTCTAGCGCTGTTACATTAATATAGTCAGTTTGATGCCGTGTCAATTTTAGTCTACTCTCAAATAGCATTAGCTTTGTTTTGTAGCGACGGGACTTTTTAACATTGGGGACTAAAACAAATGAAATCACGTATGTGCGGTAACTTTGCCATACAAAATAAATGCTTGTTTGCTTGTTTTATTAAATTAGATTGAGGATTTTGTGCCATTTTGCTTCGTTGAAATGTGATACTGTTTCTTTAAAAATGAAATGAAGTGTGAATTCGATGACGCATGGCACTTTATTTCATACAGAAACACCTTGTCAAATTAATTCATCAAACGTGGCTTGCTGTTTTGAAACACTGTGAAAGCCTTTGTTATTTGCTGTTGATAACTAACATATCACTTTGTGCACATTCCACAGAATATCAGCAACAAGTTGCTCTAAATGTTAAACTGATTGATATTTGGTCAAAATGTAAGACAAAATATATTATGTATATTTAATTTAATACCAATTTTCCGTCGAAAAGATGTCACATAGTTTTTCTCCTTCGCAAAGCATTTGTCCTACCTTTGGTCCTATCTTGTGATATTTTGCTCTCCAGGTGAGGTCTGAGCTAGGCAGCAAGGCAATGTCTCAAAGACACAACCACACCGTCCATTAGCGTGTGTTCCGGCACCATGTGTGGCACAAAAAAAGCCCCGGAGCTTCAGAGGCAATAGGATACAGCTCTCATTTCGGTTCCCTCCAACAGGGAGAAATCCTCCACGCCACACTACACAATCTGCCGAGTCCAGTTATCTCAATATGTTGATCTCTTTGCCTGGCCACAAGTTTACGGGATGTCCACTCGAAGGACGAGATGCAACCAAGACCCTGGAACTTTCTGATTTGAAAAGCAAGGCTGTTCGTCTTCTGTAAGAATTGGCCGCTGAAGAGTCCCGCTTTTTCTTTTCTCGAGTTGTCAGTTAGACAGCCCACGAAGTTTCAACTGGATGAGTAGCACGATAATGCGCGGTGTCAGAAATGAAATTCAGGTCGCCGGGGGACAGCGCAGGTAAGAGGTCTGTGTGGTTCTGGCGGTCTTTTTATTCCGTGATGGACTACGCATTCCCGCCCTCCGGTGATGACGTAAATGTTGCCGACGACATCCGTCAACAGAGCTGTTAAAAAATAAGACAACTTCCCACTCGTGAAAATTTCTTGCACGGATTAAGCATGCGCAGTTCAATTCCATCAAGGTGGTGAATCTAGACGTCCTCTGGAAAATCTGCAGAACCGCGGGTTGCCATAGATATTGAGATATTGCGCACGCATGCGCAAGGGATGTCTACTCCCCGAAACCGCAAACTGTTGCGGACGTCACCCCAGCAGTTGTCACCAATTGTTGCAAAACAGAGAGATGAGATGAGATGCATCTCCACGCTTACATTTTGTTGCAAAAAATCGCTGGAAGAAGGCAAAGCTTTTAAGGCCTGAGGCGATCTGCGCATGCGTCAAAGTTTGGTCTCAAGCAGCAGTGTGTTAGATTTGGGGCAAAATAAAGAGTAAAATTGTCCGTGTGAGCCGCTCCCGCCGCGAAGAGGAACAAACTACCAGCGCTCTGGGCGATCTGAGGTGACATAAAATTCGCCGAGCTGCCCTCTGGGGGGAACTCCGCGCAGCAGCGAATGAAGATCAGAATTTCCATTTTTATTTCTCCCGGCTCAGCTCAAGTTAACGCCAAAATTAGCCGCGCAATAGTGAAACAAATTGGTTGGCTTCGCGCTAATCAGACGCGGCGGTGACAAGGGGCCCCGGTGTCCAATCGCCGAGGTTAACACCGACGCGGGACCCGGGTCTAATTTGTTGTGCCTGGAACCTGCGAGAGAAACACTATGTGACAACCACCCGGAGTGGCCGGGAGATGGTTGGCAGGAGGAGAGACGGACACCAACGTTCCCGGGTTAACTCGGCCCTGGGCCCCGACAACAAAATAAGAGTACGCGGTAACAAAAACAACAGTCGGAATATCGAATGTTGGCCGCCGAGAATTGGTTCCCAGAGTTCGGCTGTACTGTTGCACCTCTTTAAATTCTGAACAAAAAAAGTGAAGATAATATAAGTGGTTCCTTTTTCTTCAGATGCCCATAATGGTTATTGAATCTTGGTTCTTTTTGTTATCAATTTTGATGAATTGGCAAATGGACAACTTCGTCAAATGCGACGAACACCCACTCTGTTCGTTTTTGCAGACTCCAACGACGACCAAATATTAACTGGTAAATACAGTGGATTCTGCTTTTAAGGTTAAAGATGACACAAGTGCAATATTCTCTCGGAATGATAAATCAAAAACACTGAGAATAGGTTTGAAATATAATTTTGCCCATCGCCCTGATGCCCAGAATTAAATTCGACATAATGTGTTGGCTTGATCGGTATTCACACCGTTGTATGGCACAGATTTTTTCCAGGATAAAAAAACTTAAGACCTACATAATTAACTCACTGCCGTATAATTTTCCTGTCTCTGTGCAGTTTCTTAACTTCACGGAGCAACGTCACGTGTCTGCAGCCGCAGCAATAAATCAAATGCTTTTCTCTTTTTGCTCCAGGCTGTCAATATTAAGCAAGAATATGTTGGGGGGGGTTCTCAAGTTGCCCAACGAATTCCGCTCGGAGTGTTTCGTTTGGCGGGCTTTTGTGGCGCTCGAGTGTCCTGCGTGGACAATCGGCTGAACAGTGTTGCCGCTACTGGCCCAATTCCTTCTAATGAAGCAAGTGCGTCTATCCGGGCCCTGGAGTGTGGGCCACTTATAAGCCGATTCAGAGGCCCTTCAGAGCGCTAGGAGAGCCGCTGAAGTCTTTGATACTTGGGGAACTTAATTGAAACCCGCGCGTTGGCTCGCTAGGTTCGTCGGTCGGTATTACGGGCGGACACTGGAAGGGGGGGAGGGTCGGCGTTTGGTGTTGGGTCTTAGCTGCTGTATGTGTAACATGATTGACGGGATCATTGGTACAACGGCAACTGGTGTGCCATTGAGTGTTCCCCCGATGCGGTGACTAGCTGGAAAACGTACACACAGGATGGGACAATGGGACCGCGAGACTCTGGTCGCGCGCCAAAAGCGGTTAACTAAATACTGGGATTGTCTCTCCGTTGTTGTTGTGTGTGGACAAAATTAATATCTTCCCCTCCGACTTGTATTGTCAATGGGATTTGTTTTGATATCGGCCAGTTGATTGAATAAGCCGGAGTGAACATATTTGATTGGACATACTCTGCTCTTATGAGATACATGTCATTTCTTTTTGTGTAGGTCTAGTCTCTGTGCGTGTGCGTTCGAGTCATTCTGTACGTTCTTTGTCCTGGGTGTTTACTTATTTTTCTGTGAGGCACAGCTCGAGTGGCGAAGACTTCACGCTGCATAATCTTGCCAGACAGAAATCACAAATTGTATGTATTTTCGAGAGGAAGAAATAAATTGATTTTTCCTCTTTATTATCTTCAAACCATATATTTCAATATGTCATTGCCTAAGTTCCCCATCTTATATTGCCTTGTTTGTCAACCTATTTTCGCTATTACATTACAAAAATTACATGAAGTGCCTATACACTATAAAACTTTAATTTGTCAAATTGAAATTTTGTCGAGCGATGATAACAAAATATTAATTTGTAACGTTATGCAAATTGTACACTGAGATATAACAGAGCTCATTTTAAACAACTTTTTTTTTTACAGAGGAGGCCTTCAGTGTATTTTAAAAAAAAAATATTCCGTCCATCAACATACCAAATCTCTTGTTTTTATGGAACTAACTTTTATATCAACTGAGCCGAGAGGATATTTCAAATAATTATATTTCTTGACCTTGCTGTTCGTCTGTGAGAGTGTTATATTGTCTGGTATCCTGTCATCTTCTTCTTATCTGCTATCAGCTCTCTGTCAGTCGGTCGGCTGGACCATTAGTCATTGTTAAGATATGCCTGTCTGCGGTGTTATGGAAGACTTTGAATCTCCAAGTCTCAAGTTTGTCAGTGCTGTGTGTCATTTCGGGATGTACGTGTAGTGTGTGTGTGTTATTTCTCCACCAGGGCCCATCGGGCTGTCTTACCCCCCGGGCTTGATCTCACACACAGGCCCGGGCGGCTCTCGGCATCTCGGGGACCATGTCCCCCGCAATTAATGGGTCTACCGTCTTGCACAGGGCTTAACAAATCTATCTGATGAATCAGATGTCGCTGACAACTTGCATGTGACATAATCCTCGGCGGGGGAACATGAGAACCGCTCGGTTCTCAGTGGTGCGGAAATGGAGAGACCTGATCAAACTCAATTGCATGCAGCTCGACCTGGGCCACCACCCCTTCTCACGAGGGCCATCCAGAGTTAATGAAAAAATGGGAGCCCCGATCTGGGTTTCTCGTGTTCAGCGCGGGCGACGGTCGGGGTAGCACAATGGCTAAAGGGTCAACGTTTTTTTAGTCCGGCTGAAAATTGGCTAATTCAAGACAATCGGGGGGGGGGTTGCTGAAAACCACCTCCGATTCATGCTGCCGAGGTGTCTGATTATAGCGTGAAACGGATACGACCGAGATCTGTACCGGGGCGACGTGAGATCACACCGTGTTGCAAAATGGGCGGAAAACAGCCTGTTCGGAAAGAACATATCGGTATTGAAAGAGGTTGAGTGAGGGTGTGTGCACGGGGGGATTCTTGGCATTGAATTGAGGTTCAAGACGGTTGGTTATATTGTATACTGTGCTTTAGTCGCACCCAGAGAGGAAATTGTGTTGTCATTTTGGGTTTGTTTTCCGTGGTTCCCTTTTCTCGTCTCCCAGTCAAAACTATGAGCAAACCCGCCCCGGCATTGTGCCGGCACAATGGGCCACGCGTCCCAGCGAGCAGTGTAAAGTTGATCAAGGGCACGCGACAGGGCCGATTGTCCGCACTTCGCTTCTCCATCCGGAAGGGGAGGGCAACGAGACCCGTAACATCGCGGGCACTTTTGTGGAAGTGTTGACCGAGACTACCCCTCCCCCCCAAAAAAAATTAAAAATCGGTGAAAGGAAATTGGGAAGCAAAATGTGTCAGGTAGTGATGTCGTCGTGTTTCTCGGGAGAACACTTGTAAAAAATGTGAGGAGGTGTACCAGATTGAATAATGCGACCCTCAATAACATTAGTGTAATGAACTGTATGAGTGAGAATTAATTCACGTCTTGTTTGCTACGCTTGTATCTTTGGGTGAACTTAGACAACACGATGGCACACGTTAACCATCCTTTCCCCTTTCCTCCAGATTTCAATTTGTCATTCAATCTTTTTTAATCCTGGGCCCGTTGTAATTCTGCCTGGCATTTTTATTGTTTGCTTACTACTTGCTCTTTAAGAATTTCCATTGAGATTAAACAAATCCACAAAGGTTTCTCCTTATGCGATGCGAAAATATAAAAAAAAGTACTAATAGGTCCAAATTCTTTTGTTTTTACGACTGAAATGTAGAAGCGTTGTCGTACTCAAGTTGTAATGCACTTTAAGGAGATCTAAATCATACAGGAACATTCACGCAGTTTTTTCAACCCATTTTTATACCTTTCTTGTAAACTCTGATGTAATTCCTAAAAACCATTCCATTCACCCCAAAACAGAGTTTGACCCTGCAGACATTGCAGGTCAATTTTACATTCGCTCTATGCCATTCTGGCTGAACACGGCCGGAACTGTGCACAATCGTCCCCATGCAACATATAGATACAAATAGCCTGGGTTTCTTATTTAAATCAAAGCTTGGCAAACAAGGTCTGCGCGTTATGTATGACTCAAGATTACCAGGAGAAAATAGCTGAGCTCGGACTGTTTTGTCGATGTTGTAGCCGGCGGGTGAGAATCCGTACCGTAACTAGGGCCACACGCGCCTGCGTCATCGGAACCGCACCTTCAAGACCGTCTCCCTGAAATACAGAAACAGAAAGGAGGAAAACATGGAGGGCCAAAGAAAAAAAAAGGTACAAATCAATGCCTCACCGATCACTGGCTGAGCAAATCCCTATTAGTTACACTGGAGAGTTTAGGATGGGGGGGGGGAAAGAGA